GTATCAAGCGGGCCGGATTGAACCTCCGACTGGGTCAGTTTTTGGCCCGCGGGCCGTATGTTTGACACCCATGATTTACACCAATTAAAAAAAAATCTGCATTTTGTTGAGTCAAATGAGACCAAAGTCTCATATATGACATATAGGCCTTTTTCAACTTCACTTCACTCTCCAAACCAACCACTAGGTGGTGGTGTTTTGCTGCGGCCCATGTTAAAAACCATGCTGAACGTGTGTTTTTTTTTTTTGGTGTTACTGTGTGGACGTCTGCTCACAGTCCAGTGTTTGCCCTCTCCTCCCTCCAGCTGCTCCGTCAGAGCTCGGTTGGTTTCTCTGAGTACGACCAGCTGCTGGTTCAACAGGATGACCTGCTGCTCCAGCTGCTCACTGTTGCTCAGCTGTTATGGAAACAACAACAACAACAATCAGACATTTTCTCTATTCCTCCATCACCAGCACATTAACGTAACATCTGTGTAGGGATGTCCGATAATATCGGCCCAGTAAGATCGGCCTGCTCAAGAATTTCCCAAATGTGTAAATGTATATATATGCATATATACACATGTACATATATACGCATATACACATATATACATATACTCATATGTACATATATACATATACACATATAAACATACATACACATATACATATATACACACACATACATACACACACATACACAAATATACATATTTACGCATATACATACAGTATATACACACATACATATATACACATATATACACATACACACATATATACATACACATATATACACATACACACATACATATACACACACATACATATACACACACATATATATATATATATCCAACTGTACATATATTTTTATAAAAGAGGGTTCTCCTGATCTACAACCACACAGTTCCTCACCTTGAGCGACAGCTTAGTCAGCCGATGTTCTGCATTGTTGGCCGTGTTATTGGCTCTCTGAAGCTCCGCCTCCTGGACTTTAAGCGTGCTGTGACACTCCTGCAGCTCACTCTGAAACAGTCAGAAACAGTCAGTCATGTGACCTCACCGGTCAAGCTGTGACCTTAAATCTGTGAGCGTGCGTGTTGTCGTGTCTCACCTGCAGTCTCTGGTTGTCTCTCTGGAACTCCTGCTGCTGCAGCTGCAGCTGCTGGACGGTTGGTGTGTCCCTGCGTGTCCTGCTGCAGCTGCGTGTACCGTCTCTGCTCTTCCTGCAGACTGGACTTCAGGGACCGGATCTCCTCGTCCTGGACACTCAGCTGACCTTTCTGACAGTGAGACATGACATGACATGCAACAATGTCATATCGTTGCCGCCGCATCGTGATACGATGCGTATCACAGTATATACACTACTGTTCAAAAGTTTGG